AAAAAAAAAAAAAAAAAAAAGTTCCTTAGCATTAACAAACACATGTATTTCCTCTTATTTTTGAGACTAAACAAACCAATCCTAAATAGAAGCAGACAACAAATGGCATCAAAATATTTTCCTTCCCTGTTTTTGATGGATGGATGTGAAGAGTATAGGCAACTTCTAAACTGAGACATTACAAGCCCACAACCCGAGGCTTAAACATAAGGGTGTACGATGTATTTAGCAACCATGTTGAGGAAGGGGTGCATTAGGTGCCTAGACAATGGAACAAAGGCAAACAAACAAACAAACAAACAAAAAAACCCTAAAGACTTGGACCGTCTGGTGTACGGAGTAGTATAGCCTGGAAACAAATCTACTGGACAAGTTATCTGCTAAAGGTTTTTAAAATGAAGAGCAAAGGGACACCCTCAGAATGAGAGAGAGTCAGGGTAAGAGCCAGAAGCCCAGCCCGAGTACAGGCCTTAGAAGGAGGGCCGTTGGCCATGAGGACCTCAGGGATTCCTGGGCGCACCCCAAAGGCAAGTGCTTCCTAAAGACTTTACTGCATTAGTGACCAATGATCCAAAGGATAAACTTGCTGGCCCTAACATCCCTTGAAGTCCACAGAGTTTGCCACTTGCCCAAACTAAACTGAATCAATGGAGAACCTGTTTAAAATGCAGATTCCAGGCTCGCTGCCTGTAGCTCAAGCCACTAAGGCACCAGCCACATACACCAGAGCTGGTGGGTCCAAATCCAGCCAGGCCTGCCAAACAACGACTACAACCAAAAAATAGCCAGGTGTTGTGGCAAGCACCTATAGTCCTAGCTACTTGGGAAGCTGAGGCTAGAGACTCACTTAAGCCCAGGAGTTGGAGGTTGCTGTGAGCTGTGATGCCACGACACAACACTTTACCCAGGAGGACAGCTTGAGGCTTTGTCTGGGGGGTGGGGAGGAATGTAGATTCCAAGGCCCACCCCTGCATTCTGCTTCAGCATATTTTCGGTATCTGCATTTAAATAAGCAGCCAGGTGATTTGGATACAGGTCCCAAGACACTTGTAGGCAGCACCACTATCTGTGCTGTTTCTTTTCTCGGCAGGTGTTTTTCTCACAGTCCAGGTTTTTACTTCCTTTTCTTTCTGGGCACTCTCTTGAATCTATGACCCACAAAGAAGTTACCCAATCTATTTGAAAGAGTTTAAAGTGCATTAATTCCCCTACACACAGTAAAGGTAGAAAAGGGAGTTTATTTATATTGGAACAAATTCAGTGGGTAAAAAGCCAGTGATTAGGGGAAAGGGCAGAGAGAAAGAAGGTTAATACCAGGATTAGGATGCCCCGTTCTCTGGGAAGAACAATCCTTTATTAACTAGTACTTCCTAACTTTATAAGTTCTATTATGCTTGCAGAAGCTTTTTTTGAAGAAAAATTCAGGAACGATGACTATTAGGTGTATTACTGTTTACCTCTGGGGTGTGCGCTTCACGGGCAGGGACCACACTCATCATCCTTTACTCCCAGAAGCCAGCGCAGTGGCTGGTACACAATAGGTGCTAAATAAATGTTTACAGAAGGATTGGTAACTCCGGTTTCTATAAGACACAAACCACGCTATCCCTTTCTTCCCTCAAACCAGAACTCTTGGGTTAATTAATTCCAAACCTACAGAGCACATTTTAAAAGAAGTGCTTGCTGCCCGCAGCTGCTCCAGAGAGCTCCCATTTGGGTCCTTGTGCCCTGGCCCCTTCTCTAAAATCTGTTTTGAAAGCAATGGTCCTCTCTCTCCACACTCCGTGGGTGTGCTCGCTTGGAAATTTTAACCAGTTCCCCTGCAGGTCTTCCCAGGAGCGGGCGGAGGGCAGTCCGCCTGAACTCATCTAAATAAACCAGACATACTCTGCATCTCTCCCCGCGCCCAAGCCCCGAGAGGCAGGGGGCTTCCAGCGAATCAGAGCTCCGGAGCCCTCAGCCTAAAGGCTGGTCCTATCGGCCGCCCTGCTCTCCCGGGACCCTCAGAGCGACCCTGCCCACCGCTGTCACCCGTGAACTCCGGCAAGTTTGTCTCGGTCACGGTGCCCGTCGCTAGCTTTGGAGCGGCTCTGCGCCGAGGCCCGACAGGTCGCCGGAGCCGCACCACCTCCAGGCCCCAGAGCAAGTCTCCAGCCCGCGGTGGCGAAGCTCCTGCCCCGGCTCGCCGCGCGCTCGCTCGCCCGCTCACCTTCGTCGGTTCCCTGCGCGCTGGCCGCGACGAGGAGCTGGGCCAGTGCCAGGAGCAGCACCAGCAGGCAGGCTTTCCGGGCCCTCATGGCGGCAGGTGCGGAGCGCGGCCTCCTCGCACCGGCAGCCGCTGGGCACTCCCGTACCTCGGGGTCTGGCCGTCCGCCTCCCTCCTCCCGGGATACACGGCCGAAAAGAGGAAAAAAAAACCTCAGAAGTCCTCCCCGGAGGAGGCGGAGAACGCCGCGAACCGACCAATCCCAGCGCAGCTAGGGTGCGGGCCGCGTGTGCCAGGTCCGCGTCCGGACCCCCTACCCAGGCCAGAGCGCTGCCCCTCCTAGCTCCTCCGCGCAGCCCGGGATTGCGCGTTTAAAACTAGGAACCCTAACGTGAGGTGCCCCCTTCTGATTGGCTGTGCCGCGACCACCAATCAGCGGCTGCCACTCGGTTTGCCCGGACGCACAGGCGGAGAGAGGGAGCCGGGAAGAACAAAGCCGGCGGGCCGGACCCGGAGGGGTGGGACCTGCCTACACTACGGTTTGCGATTGGCCGGAATTCTGGTGGGCGGAGCAGACCTGGGAAATATGGGGCGGGGCAGAGCTGCGCTTCCTGCGGCGGAGGTTGGCAGGAAGAACACGTGTCTGTAGCGGAGCGGTGGGAAGCCAGAGTACTAGCAACCTAGTAGAGGTTGGAGACCAAAGCCGGCGACAGATCCCCAGCCAATCTGTGGGTGGGAAAAGGAGAGAAAGAGGCTCTCGAGTCTGCTTCATGTTCGTGGGGTTCTTGATTTCTCTTTTATACTTCAACATATTTATTTCTGGGTATTGGGCTAGGGAGCGGGGATGGGCAGGCAGTGAGATAAATCCAGACTGGGTTTGGGGAGGCGTCTCTCAGTGGTTTTGTCTGTGAACAAAGCTGTCAGATTCTTGTCTATAACATGGCCCCATGTTATTTATTCATTGCGTGGTTTTTCTGCAAACGAGAAGTACCAGATAAGCAATCTAGTGGTTTATAGAGATGTAAATACAGTCTTGAGTTTTTTCCTTTTGACCACTTTGGGTAAGAAAAGTAGGTTAAGATAATCATGATTTGTGTAGGTCAGAAGAGAAGGCTGAGTTGTGAATTGGGGCTTGAGATTTTTTTAACGCTTGGGAATTCATATGCCTGATGAATGGTAGAAGACAAAATAGGGTGGGCAAAAGCAATGAAACTCAAGAGTCCACGAGTATTTTCATGTGTATGGAGATTATTAAGTGAGGAAGAAAGAAAGTGGGTGGCTCGCCTTACCAAATAGGAATTTGGGGGTTTTTTTTTGAGACAGTCTTAAACTGTTGGCCTGGGTAAAGTACTGTACCATCACAGCTCACAGCAACCTCAAAATCTTGGGCTCAGGCAATTCTCTTCCCTTAGCCTCCAGAGTGGCTGGGACTACAGGCGCCGGCCACAATGCCCAGCTATTTTTGTTGCTGTTGTTGCAGTTGTCATTTGTTTTAGCTGGACTACGTTGGAACCTGCCAGCCTTGGTGTATGTGGCTGGCGCCCTACCCACTGAGCTACAGGCGCTGCCCCCAATTAGGAAATACTAATTTAATAAAAAAAAAAAAAATTTTTTTTTTTTTGGAGACAAAGCCTCAAGCTGTTTCACTGGGTAGAGTGCTGTGGCATCATAGCTCACAGCAACCTCCAACTCCTGGGCTCAAG